CGGGGAGCCAGCCCGGAGCCCCCAGCCCTGCAGAGCCAGAGGGGTGCCTCACACCTGCCTAGGCAAACCCCGCAGCCACGCAGGATTTTGGGCACAGGAGCAGCTGCGATGCTGGAGGCTTAGTGCAGCTCTCTGAGATATTTTGGAAATGTGGATGTAGGCATGAACCGCCTGCAAAGCCCAGCGAGGCGGGCAGCTGTGGAGCAACAGCACACGGCAGGGGAAAACTGACCCCAAAACCTCCTTGGGCAGCTGTGGAGCAACAGCACATGGCAGGGGAAAACTGACCCCAAAACCTCCTACAGTGCATTAGAGTCTATTAGTAAAATAATTTAAGCAAATCACCCTTAGGGCACCCCCCCGACATGCCGTGATGCATCTCCAAGCCAGCGGTACTCACGGTCTCTGTATCTGACCCCTACCACGTCCTCTGGCTGCTCAGCGGAGCTCAGCAGGGTCAGAGGGTTGTGCTCTGTGGTTTTGCAGAAATTATGAGCTTGTAGATTAGGATCCATATCATACAGGTGACCTTCAAAAAAATATTCTTGATGGTGAGGGACTATATTTGTTTGTTTGAAGACAGCATCTAAAAACTTGGTGGTACTGAAATGAAAAAGAAACAAAAAGATGGGAAATAGGCAACGGGGCAAGCACTCAGATTTCCATCGCTTTAACAGCCTGGCACCCTCTTCTTGTAACAAAACATCCCAGAGGGTCAGTAGGACCCTTCGGACATCCTCCCTGGGGCTTTCCATGTGCCATACCAGGAGCCAACAGCTCCCAGCTAGTGCACCTCCAGCAAAGGCTGGTTTGAGCCCAGTTTATTTTAACCTGGTTTAATTGCGGTGCAAAGGGAGGAGGCGCTGCCCCGAGGTTCACCTACTGAAACCAGGGACTGAGGCTCCTCAGCTCAGTTCCCAAACTCCCTTTCAACACGGCCTTGGCACCCTTACGTGTTGTAGGAGTGGATGTAGATGCGATGCGAGGAAGCTTGCTGCAAGGAGAAGACGTCGACCACGATCCTGTGCAGAATGTCGTTGGTTTCTGCAAAAAACTGGTCGAATCCCCAGCACTTCTCCTGATCCGCCTCCAGGATATTCGCCAAAATGGGAATCAGCTGGTCCTTCAGCCCCCTGCAGCAGCAAGGGGAGAAGAAGAAGAAGAGATGTTTGCCCAGACTGGCACAACCCTGAGCCATAACTGGGGGGACCCACAGGGCTGGGAGGGCTGCAGCCCCCTCGGAGGGAGCCTCTGCCTGCTCTCACACCCCTTTGTCCCAGCTCTAAAGCAAAGATCTGGTCCGAGAGCTGGGACCTTCACTCATCCGCCTCATTACACCTTCCCACGCTGCCCGAGGTGGGATGCTCACTGCAGCCGCGGTGCCAGGACGTGACACCCGGCTGGGGACACTCACGTGGAGAGCCGGCAGGTGACAGGCAGCTCGTAGCTCCACTCGATGCTCCCGTTCTCCTGCCTCTGCACCCCTGCGATAGCTCCGGGAGGCTTCTCGGTGGTGATTTTATACCTGTTGAAAGGAAATTCCTCGCAGGTGAGATGAGCCCAGCCACCTCCGGGCACAACGTCCCTGGGGTTCAGAAAAAAACGGGCAGAGCGCAGGTGGGCTCGAAAGACACGATTCCCAGAAAGGAAAAAATATCACAGAGGGAAAACACTTCCAGAAACACTCAAAAACTTCCAAGCAAACATTAACCCTGCCTCCTCTCCCAGCTGTTTAGCTGCAAAGGCAGGAGAAGGCATTTTGAGGGCAAACAGGGCACAGATCCTTCACCACACTGCCCATGCACATCCTCCACGGGTGCATGTCAGGGTTTTCTCGGCTAACCAGGATTAAATGAGCAATAACCTACAGCACAGTCCCATGGTGCTGCTGGCACCCACCAAGGCACTGCCAGGTTGTCCCACAGCCCCCAGGGCCACCAGCCACCATCCCTCCTCCCCGCCTCCCCACCGGCCGCAGTACCTACATGATCTCCTTGTTCTTGCGAGGTCCCCCGAAGGGGACGAAGGGGAGGCTGCCGGTGGCAGCGTGGTAGAAGGTGACGCCGATGCTCCAGAGGTCGACGGTGACACCGTACGCCTTCTGCTGCGGCTTGCGCAGGACCGCGCGCTTGTACATGTCGGGGTGCTGCGGGGACGGAGCAGAGATCAGCGCTGCCAACGCGCCCAGCCTTGGATGCTGGGATGGAAAACTGGCTGCTCGCTTTGGCCTCTGCTGCTGATGGTTCCTCCAAAAAAAAAAGTCACCAAAAACTCTACAACAAAAACGCTGAGTCCCCCGCTCTTTGAAAAATGTGGCTGCTTTGAGATTGGGCTCTCCGACACCTTGCCTGGCTGTTGGATGGGGACAAGTTTCCCCCAGGACTCAGCTCCCAGTGCCCACCAGACTGGTGACGTGCTGTGCTTACCAGATATTCCTCTGTCCCGTAGACAGACACAAACTTTTCATCATCATCCAGCTCTCGGGAGGCCCCGAAATCCGTCAGTTTGTAGATGCTCTGCCCGTCCTCGCCCATGAGCCGCATGATGTTCCCGGGTTTGATGTCCCTGTGCACGACGCTGTTCTCCCGGAGGTGGTTCATCCCTGCCACTGGGCACACGGGAAGGGCAGCGTTTGTGCACGGGGCTGGAGCACTTTTCTCCAGAGGGTTTTGTTTAAACACAAGAATGTGAGAAGGGCTGGAAAAGGGACAAGGGCCAGGGCTGGTTGCACTTAAATGGGGACCAGTGCGAGTACTGGAATGGGGAGGCTGAGCGAGCCCACGGCTGGATGCTGCACTTGTGCTGCTCCATCACAGGGCACAGCCGGTTCCCAGAGCTGCTCCCAGGAGCAGATCTGCAAAGGGGAACCCCCGGGCTCCCCCTGAACACACAAACCCACCCGTTGGAGGTGCAATGTCTGACCGACCGCTCAGCCCAGCCCACGCATCCATAGCCCAAGGCTGGTGCCCACAGGGTCCCACCAGCACCATGAGTCCCACCAGCACCGTGGGGTCCCACCGGCACCATGGGGTCCTACTGGCACTGCGGGGTCCCACCAGCACCACAGGGTCCCATTGGCAGTCCCACCAGCACCATGGGGTCCCACCAGCACCACGGGGTCCCATTGGCACTGTGGGGTCCCACTCGCACCGCGGGGTATGCCACCATCACCATGGGGTCCTACCAGCATCATGGGGTCCCACCAGCACCACGGGGTCCCACTGGCACCCCAGCATCCCCATCCTGCAGCATCTAGGTCCCAGGCTGGGCTCATGGCAGCCAGCAGCTGCCCATCCCGGGTGGGGGGCACAGGGACCCCCACACTCACCCACACACTGCAGCACGATGAGGAACTCGGCCTCGGCCAAGCCGAAGGTGTTTGCGGGGTCCTCCAGCTCGTTCAGCTGCCTGCCACTCGAGCAGTACTCCATCACCAGCACCTTCTGCTTGCTGCTGCCCTGCGGCGGGAGCAGCCGTGAGGGCTCAGCAGAGTGCTCAGCATTGCTGCCCAGCCCTGTGTCCCCCCAGACAGCACCAGGTCCCCTCCCTTGGTTGGTGGGTCCCTGGGTTTCTCCTGCTCAGACAAACCAGTGTTGGAGAATGTCCCCACTGAGGGACAACAGGAGGTCACAGCCGTGCTCCAGCCCAGTGACCCAGTGCTACCAGTGCCACCAGTGTCACTGAGGCTTGGTGCGGAGGAGAAGGCAGCCTGGGGCCACTGCACGTCTCCTGTGGCTCAGACCAGCTCCTGGGTCACTGGCAGGGTTCCAAGCTGAGGTCCCACTTACCGTCTCCTCCACAGCAAATAATTTGACAATGTTTTTGTGGTTCAGCTTCCTCAGCATCTCAAACTCTCTCATCTGCACCTCCTGGGGCCGCAGGTAGCTGGCATTGTTAAACACCTTCACAGCAACCAGCTCCCCTGATTTCTGGGAAAAGAGGAAAAAGAGAGAAAGGAAACAGGAGGTGACGCCACCCATGTCCCAGGCATCTCCGTCAGCTCCTGCATCCCGCTCGGGATGCAAACGATGCCGACAGCGTAACGTGTTTTGGAACAGGCTCCCCGCAGCTTTCGCCTTCGACGCCGCAGCAGCAAACCCCGATTATTCGCCTCCTTCCTGTCCCTGGAGCCCACGTGTTACCCGGCAGCGTTTTTGTTGAGCCTCATAAAACGTTTCTCTCCTCCTGCTCTCTGCAGGACAGGGCTGTTCGGCTGATCCCAAACCATCCTGCAAGCCCCTCTCCCGCCCCACGGCCCCACGCCGTGCACAGACTGCTCGCTCCATGCGCTTCAAAGGGCGGCGAGGCGCAGAGGCTCCCTTCCAACCCTGGCAAGTGTTTGCATGAAATATGCAAATCGCCGAGGATGGGGTTTTCAAAACCTCTGGGCATTCCCCGGGAGAACAGCCTCTTCCCCAGTGATGCACGGGAGCGCTAGCAGCCGGCGAGCAGGACCCGGCTGTG